GGCAGTGACAAGCTCTTGTCCATACAGCCACACAGCAGAAAGAGGCTGAATGACACTGGAAAAGCCGTGCTTATCAGAGCTTCCTATGGCCTGACCAAGATAAACATAAGTTTACAACTGCCTCAGAGCTAAATGATAGAGGGTATCATTTTGGAGAGCATCTAAGGACTGGATTCTCCAAGCTGGCTAAGAGCAAGTGAGGTAGACATCTCCCTAGCAAAGACAGAAGCTCCCTACATTATGAATCAGCAATTATTGTTTAAACCAGCAATGTGGCTAAAGCTGAGAGGGAAGGACCGCAAACTACTGAACAAGCCAGTCCTTTGCTTAAATGGTCAAAGACCTAGGCAGGTGTCAAATGGGATTTTGAAGTGATAAGAGGGAGAAGTCACAAGTTTTCATAAAAAGCCAGGCCCAAAGGAGTTCTGCGCCAAGTTTCATGATATTAAATAGGAATTAAGGCTTCTTAAAATGCAAGCCATCCTAGGTTTGACCAACACACTCAACACCAGAGGTCAGGAGGTAAAAAACTACCAGCATCCCCAGCTCTGAGAAGCAGAGGAATAGAAATCACAAGACTGAAGAACCCTTCTTGGAAACTCAGTGCTCCCAAGCCTTGGGTGCCTCTAAGCTAAGGGCTGCCCCCTTCTTTGAGCTAAAGTCTACAACACCTAAAAGGTACAACAAATTGCTTACCAGTAAACCAAGAGCAGAGGTCGCTCTGTGATGCTTTTCTCTCTTGCTCCTAATAAGCACCAGTGCGCATCCAACTGGCAGCTGCACCCCTAGGCCAAAAGAAAAACCTCAGGTACAAGCATCCAGCACCATAGTGCTCTCCAGCACTGCAGAACACAAGCGCCCCACATAACACACTACCTACCACCCAACGAATGAAGCGATGTTGCCTATGGCAGGGGCCACACACAGTCTTGTGACTAGGGAAAACGCAGAAGAGTCATTTGGTTACTGGAAGGCCTAAAGGCCATTCAGATAAAGTGTTTTTCTCTGATTTTTAGAAGTTTCAGAGAGGAAAAAAAAAAAAAATGAAAAACAGCAGGGAGAAAAAAAAAAAAAGGTAGTTCTATTTTAAATTCATTCTTCTTTGAGGCATATCATAGAATTTCAACTTTTGGAAAAAGGATAAGCAGCAGTAGCAGGAAAAACAAACACTTTAACATCATCTCTTCTTCTGGAGCATGTAATACCTACAAGCCAGACACTTCTACAGCAAAGGCAAAACCACGTTGTGCAGGGAAGTCTGCTGCCTTCATCAGCCAGCAAAGCCCCAGCTCAGGCAGTGCCCCAAGGTTTGCTGTTCACTTGTTTTTTACTCCACATCTGAGCACAACATGTGTTTCTGTGTTGAAACCCAGGTGAATATAAGTAACTCCCAGATGTGGGACTGGAAACTGACATTCCTTCTTTACCCCATTTTCCACAGCTTCCTGTTTAAGTTCCTTGCACATGCTCAGTTATTATCACCGTTTTTTCTGCTGATCAGCAACGACAGTAAGATCTCATCATTAAAGTTTGCAATGTACTCCCGTGAGATGAAAGAATAGTTTTTTCTCAATTTCTCTGCAGGCTTAGGAAGGAGCAGCATCATCACCATTTCAAAGAGCAATCAGGGAGATATTTTTCCTTATCTGTAAAAACAGAATCTAGCACCAGGATCTGACACCTACCAAATGCGTTACATCTATGTCAGTTTAATCTTTCTGACATTCTTCATGCAAAGGTTCTATTGTAGCATAGGAACCAACTGACTGTCTCTGCCACGTGGATCACGGATAACAGTATGAGAAACAGTCTTCAAAGCTATGTAAACTCTTAAAACCTCCGCCTAAAACCTAGCTTTGCCTCAGCAAACAGCAGGCCTTGCGACGATTCTCTCCAGTTCTCAATTTCTGGTAAAAAGCGTTTTGTTTTTCATAATTCATGGAGCACAAAAGTGAGACCAAAGCACCATGAGGTAATCAACAGATTAAAACAAAATGAGCCCTCGCTGACTGTGAAAAGTAGGCTTTGAATGAGCACAGCTCCATTCATTTACTTCCTTCTGCCGGGCAAAAGTTTCAGGTTATTGACTGGTGTAAAGGAAGTGGCTGCCCTTCAGGGATGGCACCAGACTGCAAATACGCTTTTAGATGTGCAGCCTGGCTGTGCCCTGCTGCAGGCATGAACGGCAGCAACTGTTCTCTGACCTCTTCTGTGCACTAATTGCTGTAATCACTCCAGGAAATTTGAGAAATCTGGGATTTTTTTTTTTTTTGTCATTACGTTTTAATGTTGCAGTCACTTCCTGAGGACAAGTTTAACATTAGGTTGCTGCTGTTACTCCTCCACATTGCCTAAGGTTTCCCATAAATTTGGCAAGTAACTTGAAGTGAAAATGCGTGCATCAGCTGAAGAGATACAGAAGCTTTCTTACCTGCACCCATGCAATTAAAAAAAAAAAGTAGGGAATTAATATATCAAAAGTGTACATCACATCAAGTCATTGTGTTCTGAGATAGTATTGTAATTAATATTAAAACTATTCAAAGAAAAACATAAAGGAATTGAATAGCTAGGGATCAGTTCTGCACAAACTAATAGACATTAGATATTGTGCTAAATGTGTTTCTACTTACCGTTTTTTCCTCTACTAGCCTAAATGTCCTTCACTTGCAGCAATTGCTTTGCCAGAACCTCTCCTAGACAGCTGCTCCTGTTCATACATATATAAAAAGCATTTTCATCACTACTTCACTTCTAGATCTTCAAACTCACTTCTAAAACATACTCACACATTTCAGGTAAATTTTTACTGCAACTAATTTCTTCATGAGTAGTTTTTTTCCCCAAAGAAAAGAATTTAGTCACCTCAAAGTCTAAGAGGGTCAAGCCTCAAACTGGCATCTCAGCTACATTAGGAAGCAATCACTTTTCAGCAGGTAGGTTCTTTGCCTAGGCTTGGACATGAACTATTGAAATAAAGCAATTACAAGGTACATTTAAGTATATGTGAGAACTGAAAATTAAAGGAGGTGAGAGCAGACATGCAGCTTTTCTCCAGACTCTATACAGCACAAGCTGATCTACGTTATAGCAAGTACATAAATCAAAGCAGCCATTTAGATATCAGCGACAAGAGGATAAGATTAATACTAGTCACAGCAGTTCCTCTTCTTTTGCTGAACCACTGCTGACTTCATTCTCCCTAACGAACATCTCTATTACATCCACAGATGTGGTATCCGAATATTAACCTGCAAATGTAACACTTAGCTAAAAGGTTCTTCCTAGTTGCAATTACCAAAAGCTCATTTGGCCCTCACACATTCCAAAGGACCCTATTACATAAATTGTTTTTGAAAATAGAGTTGATTAGTCCCAGAAATAAGGATTCAAATTTAAAACTTTGCACCCTAAATATTTCCATGTACATAGGTACTATCTTCCTTTGTATCAGAATAAAGCAGGCATAGCTGTGACATAGCTAGATCCTCCTAGAAGCCAGGAGTCTCACCTTTTGTCCTGTCCACAACCTCTACTTCCACAGAGCATCGATGTATACATATATACAGACATGTGTTTAGGTCTAAATATGAAGCCAAGTCATACAACTTGATCTTCCCCTGCATTATAAATCTGTCACATTTACACTCTAATCATGCAGACCTACCGTGAGCACTGATGAACCTGCCTTGATCACTTTAGCAACAAGCATCACCAGCCCCAGTGATTCAGAATGAAGGAGACTGGTTATTCAACTTAATGTATCCTTACTCCAATTCCCATGGAAATCATTCTTAGACCCCTGACCTGCTACCAAATTAGTCCCATGAGGGCAGTAGAGAACCATCTGTTAAGAAACCAGTATCTTCTTTCTATTCTATTCTTTGGGAGTTAGGTTTTTTTTTTTTTTTTAATTTATGGTTTTGCTGTCTAGGATAGCCTTGAAGTGTGCACATTCTGCTGGATTCAGGGACCCAGGGGAAGAACAGTTGCACACTGCCAACTTCAGTGCAATCAGCTGCAAAGAACAGCAAGTGGATTCATTTTATACAAAGGCTGCATCAGCTTATGTTTATCTGTGAAAAAAGTGAACAAAAAAGCCGTCTCCGCAGGCTCAGTTCAAAATGCCTTAGCATCTACTGGACTGATGTGAGGAAAGGAACAGCAAGCACACTTGCATGATAGTTCATTAGTAAGGTATTACATTAGAGCATGGAAGATATATTGCCTTGTGTATTAAGGCAGCAGATAATTTCTATCATTCTTATTTAAGGTTGCCTCATGGCAAATCATTTGCAGGAACTCTAATCTGAGAGCACAGAAAAATTTCACAGTTAAAATGTCCTAAAGCTCTATTATTAAACTGAACAGTAGGAATGAGTAGGTTTTTAGCATGCAGTAACAGCAACATAGCATGTTTCAGTGCTGTTTTGTGTTAAAAGCAATACTTGGCTGTATAGTATAGAAATTAATACAAGCTCTAGACAAAAATTTATCAACTTCACCTTGTAAACTATTTTAAGTATGCAGTAATTCTGAAAGTCATGCCTAAGGGTAGCTATTTGATTTGACAGCCACCAAATAACTACATGACTGGGAAGTTCCTGCAGAAAAGTATTCTTTCCTTCAGAAAATATGGAATTCCCCCCCCCAAAATATTGCCCATTTGAGCAGTGAAGCCAGCACACTTCTGGTTGTACCCAGCTTTATTAACAAACTGCATATGAATTAACTTTCCCAGATGCTAAAGAAATGCAATTAAGCCCAGAAACCAGCTGCATGCTTTTTTCAGTACCCAGGATAGCTAACTCTTAATAAGCTGTCCAACCTTGCATACACCGAGTTTGCTTCTGTACTTCAATCAATTTCAGAATCAATATGCTCTGATTCACAGCACCATCCCTTCAGGTTAACCAGGAAAAAAGTACAAGTCATGAAAGGTTAGTTACGAGTCTGAAGATTTAGATTTTTTTTTTTAACCTTTTCACGGTATTACAAGACAGTTCTTTATTTTGAACATTAAAGTGCCAGCTTTATGTACAAACTTAAAATATTAAAAAGTAAACTTAAAACCTGCTAAGAAAACAGTGAGGTCATGTAGCTTCCTCCAGAGTTTTCTGCAGAGCATTCAAAAATCTAACACAAGAATTTCTCAATCACTTCTTTATGGGGAGAACTGCAGAAGCTAGTGGTAACTGTCCATACCTCCCATCTTGTAGAAGGTAGCTACCTATATTTCACAAAATAGAGTAGCTTATGAAGCAGCTGCTTTTATAAAATACACCTAAGCATTCTATGAATTAAAACCATTGACAAAGTCTTGTTAAAACTGCTGCAGCTACACTAGCCTCCTGAAAAGTACCAGTATCACCACACTTTGCAAGAATGGGATCTGGTACAAAAATAAAATCACACCATGACCCAATATGCTTAATGTTTCCCCATAAACAGGGGACCATGCATGCACAGCAAGTCATGTGGTTTCAGTCCATTTAAAATTCTGCATCCAGGGTGAAAGAGTTGTCTGTGGGCTTTGACATGACTCCCATCCTCTGATATTCACCTACTCGCTTCTCAAAGAAGTTCGTTTTGCCTTCCAGAGAGATGTTTTCCATGAAGTCAAAAGGATTCTCTGCTTTGTATATCTGAAAGGCAAAGATGTGGTCAATGTGGGTGTTCAAATCTCAAATCCAGAACAGTATTGAAGAGCTCAGCTGGGAAGAAAGCAAAAAGCAGCTAATGGAAATAGAGGTGGGGTTACTTTACAGTAAAGAACCACTTCTGCCCAGGCATTTGCTGCTCAACTCATTCCTTTTAGCCACCACTATGGTTTGTTTTTCACTAACAGCTTGTTTGGTCTCCCAACAAAATCTGCCAGTGGTCCTGCTAACTGGATTTAGAAGTTATACCAAAATTGCTGCAGCAATTTTATGATTTTGGTTTCTGGAAGAAATTAAGTTTAATATGAATTAAGCTTCTTGTGAAAGAGTATGCTTATGAGCCTTACCTTGTTAAATCCCAGTTCCAACATAAGTCTGTCTGCTACAAATTCTATGTATTGTTTCATTAAAGTGCAGTTCATGCCAATCAGTTTTACAGGCAGTGCCTCCGTCAAGAATTCCTGCAGATAAGAGAATCACTTAGTGTATAGAAACACCATGGCATTCATTTTATACTGTCTAGGGTAATTTTACAACCAACAGTTCGCCAGCTTTGTTCTTAATTATGAACACGGAGCAGCAAATTACCTGTTCTATGAGAACAGCATTCATGATGATTTCCCTTACTCTCTCCTCTGATGGTTTGTGTATCAAGTGCTTGAACATGAGGCAGGCAAAATCACAATGCAAGCCCTGGAAAGAAGATTCAGAAAACCATCTCAGGAACACTGATTTAAAGGAGCTGCTTGAATCAGTGGCACAGAAGAAATAGCCCATATCTAGCAATTCCCACATTATTTTTTTTCTCTTAACTTTCTGCCTAACCAGACAGAGGTATAATAATCAATACAATTCAACGTACACATCCTCCAAGTGACAAAAATACCAAATTTAAGCACTGGTAGAAAACCCTGAACTATTACTAAGAAAAATAAAATGTCAAGTTCATTCATTCACTGCCATAGGATCCATGTTAACACATGCTAGTAAGTTTTATACACTGCCTGTTTATAAGCATACTTCTCTCGAAGTATTTGCTACATTTGAATGTCATTACTTTGAGCTACTATAACCATTATCATCTTAACTCTTAGTATTTGATTCATACCTCATCTCTACTGATGAGTTCATTAGAAAAAGTGAGTCCAGGCATTAATCCTCTTTTCTTCAGCCAAAAGATTGATGCAAAGGAGCCAGAAAAGAAGATTCCCTCTACTGCTGCAAAAGCTACTACACGTTCTCCTGTTAACGAGAGACAATTTTAGTAACATGCAGAAAACTTCCTGAGTTTAAACTCAAAAGCTGAGCAGACCCATGAACTGAGTCTTCCAGGCAGAATGAAATAATCACTACTCAAGTGAGATATAATCTGTCCCTGAAACTGTTATGGTAAGGGCTTCTGTCAAAGTAAAATATCTTTTAAGCCACATAGCCAAGTAAAAATTAGAGGAGGTGGCAGATAACCTGAGGAAAGAAGCATTGGCTTCAGCTGTCCTATCACCTCTTCCCATCCCAAAGATGGCACACCAAAGAGCAGTCATCTTTAGAGGCAGATTAAAGTCAGTGACTGGTCATCATTGCTAGAGGGAAGAACTTTGGCCATGAAGAACACTTAACAGCAGTGAAATCATCTCATTTTCACCTTTGAAGGCATCAGGAATCAGAAAGCAGATGAGCCATAGCCTCCAAATAAATGTGTTTGTTGGAAACCAGTGAAGGTCAGGACACAAGAGTAGTTGCAATTTGATCACACAGCCAAGTATACCAAGATTGCCACAGGAGTTACCATTATTCAATATACCAGCAATTTTAAGAGATTCACATTAGCAGCTTATCTGCAAGATGAACATGATTCTCTTCATCTCCAGAATCTTATCAGTACCTTTCAGAGTAAGCACTGAAAGGTACAACCCTGTGAAAACTACCCCTGTGAACTGTGGAAAGTCTGGAGAAGTTGTAGCTCCTTTTTTAAAAAAAGGAAAAAATTAAACTGCTCTTTGCTTCCAAAAACTTCACTCACCATATGTTGCTTGCTTGTCCCCAATCCAGCGCATGGCCCAGTCAGCCTTCTTTTTAACACACGGTAGCGTTTCAATAGCATTGAAAAGAAATTCCCTGAGGAGCAGAGAACTCATTAGGACAAAATTTCAGCAAAGCAACCACTACAATACAGCTTCATAGTTGTAAAATGGCCTTGTTCATTTACAAAGGCTCTGTACCTTCACCCTAGCATAAATTCCCCTCTTGTTTTGTTTATACCAAACCTAGGTACTTTTGTGCTCATCTACCTTTGCATGACCTTCACTTTACGCCAACAGCAATTCACATGAATTGTCATGACAATACCAGAAGGAGGGTCAATTCACAAATATTCTCAAACAAGTTCTCAAAGTTAGAGACCACCTGACCTCCACTTTTCAGGAACAAGGCACTTCTGGAAGCGCCTCAAACACTTAACACAATCAAGCACTCCAAAGTAGGAAGAATGGTGTGCAAAGCAGAAGCAGCTAAGTAAATCTCTACAATGTAGCTAGCTTTTCAGAAACACAATACACTTATCCCAGTTGGGTGCTTGTCTCTCAACACAGGAAAAAAGCCTAAGCTGGTCAAAAATCTGTTATCAATAGCAATTTTAAGCAAGCAACATTAGCTACATGGTCAAAAAAGACAAAAATATTCCTTTATTTAAGAAAGTCAAGTCTCTATTGGGAGCACATGATATGAGTGCCAGTCATTAACTGGACACACTGCATATTAGAAACTGTTTTATTAAAAGAGTTCTTATTCCTATAGAAATTTCCCTAGATAGCTATCTACCAGTGCAGTGGGTTCTCCATATGAGAGCTTAATGTAATTTAAGATACTACTTTGACTGGTTTACCTTTTAGATATTTAAGTTTCATTATATAATTTCATGTTAATACCTGTTTTTACTCTGAATGTAGATGAAGTCTTGCTCATACACTTAGAAAAGTATGAGCCAGTATGAAGTATTAAGTTGGTCTTATGCAGCACTTCAGTGATATTTTAAATGCTAGACAGGTGAAGTCACAGAAGAGGAATGCACATTATGTAAACCTCAGTTAATCAACTTAGAATCTTTCAACATCAAGCAATACTAACCTCTCTTTTGAGTCTTTAATGTATGTGTCAATTAGAAGACTGTACATTTCTGAATGTATGTTTTCCATGGCAATCTGGAAGCCATAGAAACAACGCGCTTCTGTGATCTGTACTTCTGGACTGAACCGCTCCACCTAGAGGAAATAAGTAACTCAGTGTTTGCAGAAGCACTGTTAGCAGAGCTGCATGTTAAAGAGTACTGGTGTTTTCTGTGCAGACAGGGATTTGCTCAGCCCATAACATTATCTTCAGACAACTCCACACAGTTGGATTATGCACAGAAACACAAAGGGCACCAGCGCCTCGCAGCTGCAAGTCTGGTTAAAGCCCCAAGGTTGTTCTGTGGTCCCTGGAGGAAGAGAGAAGCACCTCGTTGTGACCTGGCCACCACCAGGGAGGGCAGATGAGATGCAGAACGAGGGCTCTGAACAGGGCAACTGCTACAACACAGCAGGGCTTTGTGCTCTACAAGGAAAATGATAAACCTCTGGATTTTAAAGAGCACCCTGCACTTTGCTAAATAGCATAAAAAAGTATTGAAGTTTCTAAATGCAAATAATGCAGCTAGACAGGGTGGCAAGTGCTTCATTCAATATGCAGCTGTTTGGTCAGCTTCATTTCATGGAATAGCATTTTCTGAATGGATTTCAGGGCCCTTCTGACCCACTCACCAGGTTTTCATTGACTATGCCATCACTGGCAGCAAAGAAGGCGAGCACATGGGAAATGAAGTATTTCTCCTCGGGCTTCAGGGACTCCCAGTGCTGGATGTCCTTGGAAAGATCCACCTGAAACAGAGGGGAGGCTCAGGATGGGAGGCTCCTACGGGAGCAGGGCACAATTCCTCAAGGGCTCGTACTGGGGAGCGCACATTGATGCTGCTGGAGGCGACAGGCCCCCGGGCCTCACCTCCTCGGCGGTCCAGAAGGAGGCCTCGGCCTTCTTGTACATCTGCCACACGTCGTGGTACTGGATGGGGAAGATGACGAAGCGACGCGGGTTCTCCCGCAGCAGCGGCTCCTCCTCGGCGCCCCGCGGCACCTGAGGGCACAGAGCGGCTCGGACTCGGTCTCAGGGCAAGGGAACCCCCCGGGGAGAGAGCAACGGGCAGGGGAAGGGCCCGGACCCGCACTCACCGGCTTGTTGTCGGCCTCCTGGAAGATCTTCCGCGACGCCTTGCTGGCCAGGACGCGGCTGCTG